TTACACTTTGTTACTCTCGAGAGAGCTGTGGATACGGATTACCTATGAGTATCTGAACTACTTACCATGAATCACCAGTAAGGGCAAAAGTGATCATGTGAAAATAAACTGCTTTCAAATTTAGCTTTTTTTAGCATAAAAATAATTTTACCACATTCAAAATTTGTTTAGAAAGCTTGGAGTAAATGAATTAGTTGAAGATATAGAAAGTAGTTTTTTGGTGTTCGTAAACCTCAAGTCTTTTTATACAAGGCATAAGAATTTGACGTTGTTCAATCACATCCGAGTCTCGCCCATGCAGCTGAACTAACGAATCAAAGAATATGCTCGTAGTAGTAACTCAGAGAAGCCACTGAATGTTGATCTGTCGTGGACTTTATCATGTAAATATGAAAACAAACTCTTCATCTTACAAAAGTATGGTAAAAGAAGGTCTAATTGCCGATAAGTAACATTCATTGCACGTCTTATCAAAGTTATAAGAGGCATTCAATTTTTGCATTCTTAGCAGGATAAATTGTTTTAGAGTTGGAATAATTTCTAGAACAGCAATGAGCATAGACGAAAGGAACTTCTTAGATAAGCTGAGCGAAAGCTCTTTGACATTGATTTATACTTTATTGTACTTAACTTAAATAAAAGATAAGTCATCTTCAAAAAAACTATTAATGACAGCTTCATATGCTCAGACAACATTTCGACCAACTCCAAGCGCAACAAAACAAAAAATGGATAAGTTTTGCTTTGATTAATTAATTTTAGTAATATATGATATAAAATATTTTCCTTATTCATTCACCTACTCTCTTGATTCACAACCTCGTTGACCATATGAAAGGAGGAAGACTGTCATATGTTGTTTAGATGGTTTGGGCAGAAGCACTTTTACGTGGTTATATTGACCATCTGTCAGATTCTTAAGTGATCTGTGATCGTTCATAGATATGATTCATTTTGACAGCCTTTATAATTATGTGCTATTCTTGTTATATGCAGTATTTGCGCGCATTCATTGATGCTATTTAGTATTTTGGCACGTGATCTCGAAAATTTGGAGGCCAAAAAAAATCCATCCAGAGTTTGACGAGTTACGATGATAACAACGTATTTAAGTATTTTTGAATCAACATTCTGCAAGAAGCTATATTGGAATCGCTTTGCAATTTTACTCAAAACTTATTAATGTTTTTGAAATTTCGGGGATCAGCAGACATTGATGTGAAAATGCTAGTAAATACTGATTTAAAAAAAAAGAACTACATTGAAATATTAGAATTGAAGAGACTGTTTTAACTTATGTTGTAGGTTTTTCTTTAGCAGGACTTGTTATAGACAATCTATAAATTTAGATATGTACGCATCGATTCTGCGTAATTTCTTCAGTGGTAAACGATGTTGTTGGAGATAACTGTAACAGCTTTATTTTCTTATTCAAAATAATAGATGAAATAGTACAACTTCGTATGTAAACATTTTAAAAAGGCCATTTTTACAAGACTAATTACTTAAAGCCAGGACTAACAATGTGACAGGAAGTAACGGCACAACAGCTAGTTTCATTAACCAGCATTCGTTGCTATTGTATTGCGTTATATTTCAAATAAGTGGCTTTGTTCAATGCAGTATATGCAAAGATGAGTTATTGCTCACTAAAGTGAAGCCCTTTCTTTGGCGCGCTCAACAGTACCTGGGGTGCAGGTGCACGTAATAAAGAATTGACTGCTACTCGTTAATGGTAGTTTCTTCAATATTGTCGGATAAGAAAATGATTTGCAGATTGCGACTTCCAATTGTCCTAATTAGGAAAATTATCACTTGTTCAAGAGAGATTTGAGAGGATCTCCAACTTGAGCACGCTGAATAAAAATTTGTAATTGCTCATTAGGTATAATGTATAACAGCACAATAGAACTCATAGAGTCATAATGTCTTGGCAAAGAAAGCCAGTGTCGTAAATCCTTTGATTTAACAAACGCTGGCAATGAAGTACAGTCCACAAAACATTCCCTTGACCATACACTCTCAGAAATGTTTTTCTTTCTTGAGCATTATTTTCTTACCCCTTTATCATTGTAATGGTTCACCACTTTGGCCTTACGTATTTGCGATTTTAAATACACAGGGATTGATCTCAATGAAAGTTTGAAATATATAATTATATGTGCAGCCGAGAGCTATCGAAATTTCAATTATGCGCTTTATGTACTCAAACACATGCAGCAGTTTTTAATGAGGTTCATGGTGAAGTAAGTAAAATAAATCAAATTGCAGCATTAAAAAACTGAATTTATTTAGAACAAAAATTGGAGGCAAAATTTATGTTTACAGCGACATTCAATACAAATGAAAATAGAGTTTGTAGCTACTGTCACATATGGCATAATTTTACAGAATTTGTGGGCCAGGAAGTGAAAGATGAAGTACACATTCTTGGCCTTGCTGCTCAACTTCTGCTTCTCTTTCTTGACCTCCATCCTGCTGATCCAAAACATTGTAATCACCACTCAGGGCACCTTGACCTAGTGATGGGAGCCCGATGCTTTTGGGTTGATCTTCTTCTTGTTGCAGCTCTTCATCAAAGGAGGATGGTGCTTGATCGAATTCTGCATAATCAGCCTGTTGTTCTTTCATAAGGAGTTCCTCTATTTTTTGGCTGTCAGGCAGCGCATAGGTATCATCCCCTACTTGTTGATCTCTTTCA